TCATGTCACAAATACGACTGCACAAGGAATATCACATTATTTTGTTTAAATCACATTTAACTCCAAGGCCCTATCCCACTAGGTGGCTAGAAATTTGTTTTCAAGGGAGCTTCCCCTCACAGAGTAGCACAAAAGTCCCAGGGTTTTATGAAAACTAAAACATCCAGGGGATCCCTCTGATACCTGTCACCACAGATATGTCCATTGGGCAAGTGTTCCATTGAAATCCACATGGGCATATCGTCTCTGCCAGGGCCCAGCCTCCCAGGGAACCCGAGCAGTCATTCTCTGGGGGCCGGGCCGCCCCTTCTGCAGATTCCCGCTACTGGGCACGTGCCCAGACCCCTGTGCGGATCCCCTGAGGTTCTAGAGATCTGACCCCTCCCCCACCACACACACACTCTTCTGCCCTCCGGACACACTCGCACTTCCTCAATGAGTTCGGTTTCTCACCAGGGCCAGGAAGGGAGGTCATTAAGCAACACTTGCTTTTGGCAAATGCTCCCGAAGCAAGGAAATAGATGGTGAGGCTACCTTGGAATAGAAGGAGGAAAAAGACATGGAACAAGATATAAATATGTCTCATTCTTTTTTATTCTTCTACAGCACAGAACTGTCTCAATATATTATCCTATGATCGAAGTATTCAAAGTCCCTCTTTACCACCTCCTCCCTAATTCGTTTCCCAAAGCAACCATTATCAGGGTTTTGGTGTTCACTGTGTGGTCTTTGCAGTTAACTATCAGTTATCTGGTTGTAGGCTTCAATGTTTAATCAACAAATACTGGGTACCTACTATGTAGCAGATGCTGGGGGGGGCAGCGTGAGGCAGGCTAGACTCTGTCATAGTCTGGGGGACAGCGGGAAGTGGGCAGACAGTCACGATACAGGGGGATTAGGGAAAGGCAGGACGGAGCAGCAGGTGCCAAGTGTCTAGGGAGATGAAACAAGTCATTATTTCTGGACCATGGGTTGTGAAGGGGGAGAGAGATATGGGAAGGGAATGTTAGGCCAGGAGGCAAAGCATGAAGGCAGGGCCCAGACCAGGCAGGCCCTTTTAAGCTGTTTAATACTTTATTCCAAGAGCTATGTGGAGCCTTGCAAGAGCTTTAAGTTGAAGAATAACACGCTCGAGTTAGCATTTTAGACCACATTGGCTGCCATATAGCGCACTGAGTGGGGTGAAGTGACCCTAGGCAGGAAGCTATTTTAGTAAATCAGGATAGCAATGGCAGTGGCCTGTGTTATAGTAGCCATGATGAGAATGGAAGAAAGAAGACAAATAAGAAAAATATGTAGGAAGTAGGATTATTAGAATTTGGTGGCTGATTAGATGTTGGTGGGGTGAGGGAGATGGAGGAGATTAGGAGGACACCTGGCGAGGGTAATAGATGGATAGTGGTTCCAGTCTCTAAGATAGGGACACCAGAGGAGAACTTTTGGGAAATAGAAGGGTTAGTTCAGTCTTGAACATGCTGAGTTTGAGGAGTCTCATTTAAGGATCTTCAGGTAGAAATGTCCCAGGAGCTCTTGGACATACAAAGTCTGGAGCTCAAGAGAAGACTGAGCTGCACGTATGTAATCAGTAATCTCTGTGTGGACACCAAGGCCGTGGGATTGGCAGGGGTCACGCAGAGAGAGCATGAAAATAGGGTCTAAGAGTCCTAGGGGTCACCACCAGCATTTCAGGGACTTGTATTTGGGCCCTCATGTTTTAGGAACATATAATTAATTAGTAAGGTAAATTTTCTTGCTTATAAGTTGGGATGAGGCCTCATGTTTTCAAAATCAAATGTAAGGCCGGGTGCAGTGGCTCATGCCTGTAATCCTAGCACTCTGGGAGGCTGAGGCGGGTGGATTGCTCTAAGTCAGGAGTTTGAAACCAGCCTGAGCAAAAGCGAGACCTGGTCTCTACTAAAAATAGAAGGGAATTAATTGACCAACTAAAAATATATATAGAAAAAATTAGCCGGGCATGGTGGTGCATGCCTGTAGTCTCAGCTACTCAGGAGGCTGAGGCAGAAGGATCGCTTGAGCCCAGGAATTTGAGGTTGCTGTGAGCTAGGCTGATGCCACGGCACTCACTCTAGCCTGGGCAACAAAGTGAGACTCTGTCTCAAAAAAAAAAAAAAAATCAAATGTAACTTGTTCTTATTTTTTTTTTACTTATCCTACTTCTTGTGTCTTCTGATCTCTGCCACTTACTAGCTGTGTAATCTTGGGCATGGTACTCTACCTTTTAGTGCCTTAGTTTCTTCATCTTTAAAATAGGGACAATAATAGTTTCCACCTCCTAGTGCTGTTATGAGGATGAAAAGAGTTAATACACAAAAGTGCTTAGAACAATCACTGGCCCACAGTATTTACTCAATAAATATAAACTGTTATCATCCTCAGTAGCATGGACAGTGGACAGTTGACTCTGTGTCTATTTGGAGTTCCGTGGTTCCAGAGGATGGAGTCAGAGCTGAGTTCTGTGTGACCTTTACTTCTCTGAGCCTCCAGCCTCTCTTCTCTAAATGGGTGTGATGACACCCACCTCATACCGAGATGGCATCTAAGGCCCTGGCAGGCAGGAAGCGTCACTAATGGTTAATTCCCTCCCATTCCTTCTTCCGTAGTTGTTCATTCAGAACAGGCCAGTCTGGTGACCTGACACCAGCTGTTTTTTCCTTCCACTTGTCCCTGGTATCCTGCAATACAGCGCTGTGAAGGCCTGGGGGCAGAGCCCTGGCTAAATATTTGCAAATCCTTCTGTGTGGCCAGTCCTCTCCAGAGTGACTTTCCCCTCTCCCGGTTGGCCCTGTGGTCAGCGAGAGGTGCTGTGGAGTCGTCATGAGAAAGCCAGACGGTGGCAGGTGTGGAAGAACAAGCAAGGCCGCAGACCTCTGTGGCTGTCCTTTGCTCTTCCGGAGGGAAGGTCTCGCGGTTTTTGCTCTGTCGGAGCAGCTGACTTCTGACTCCTCACAACACCAGACTGTCCTCTGCAGTCGGCAGAGGAGTTCTTCTCAAATGCTGCATGGCCTAACTCTTGCTGGTCTTTCCAGCCTTGTCTGTCTTCCTTTTCACGCCGGGCCTGGCTGCCTGCGGTCCATCCCCACTGCGTGCCGCGCCTCTGCGCCTCCACGCCTCAGCACAGTTGCTTCCTCTGCCAGGAATATACCTATCCGCCCGCAATCCTTTTTATTGGTCCACGAGGTGAGCACGTGTCTATTCAGCCTCTAAGGAAGCTCTCAAGTCACGTCTTATGAAAACATCTCTGCCCTCCCGTGTGGGATTGTTGGTCCCCTCTCCTTGTGCCCTCTCACAGGCCCAAGAACAAACTGGCATCCTACCATCACAGTACAATGCGTTTGCATGCTTGACTTCTGTCTTCGGAGCCACTTTAAGGCAACGAGCCTCTCTTGTTTGTCGTTACTTCCTCAGTGCATTGTACAGCGTCAGGCACCAAGGGGGCCTTTATTGTTGGCAGAATGAAGAAATGAATGGGCATGTGGTTGGATGCATGGTCAGACCAATGGAGCTTGTTGAGATAGGGGCCACGGCTTCACTGAAGTGAGAACAGTTCCAACCTCACACCCCAGCCGTTCTCTGGGTACAGGGATGCATAAGCTTTCTCCCACACTAAACCTTGATCACCACCAGACTGGTCGTCCTTAAATTCTGGAAGCAAGAATGGCACTGCCTCCCATCTCAACACCCTCTGCCCAGAGATTTTAATTCACAAGGATACAATTCAAAGATGGGTAGTATGTATTTATTGAGAACCTACTATGTTCAGGGGACTGCAGGGATACATTGAAAAGAAATAGCCTGAAATTGTTTTCAGAAAATGATTGTGCTTTTAAATCCATCATTGACCTTATTATCCTCATAAACATCTTTGTAAGTTCAAGATTCCCATAGATTCCTTTGTTGTTGGCTCTCCCTGGAAGTCTCCCCTGCTTCAACAGCAGCGGGGAGAGGGAAGCGTGGGCAGCTCTCTAGTAGGAAACCCCTTTCTTGCCAGCATATGCTGGGTTTCCACCATACAGGAGTCCCTGCCCCATAGGACTGTCTGGAACCAAGTAAGTCAGACTTGTTCTCGTAGCGCTGTGACAGTATCAGATTCACATGGGTATTCCCATCCTGCATGAAAATATAGTTACAGTCGGGCAGTCTCTCATCCCTTTGATGAGGGGGGTCCTCAGATTTCTTCCCCCACACATCGGCCCCCTCCCTTTTAGTTGTTGCTCAGCGGCAGCTGAACAGAGGCACAGGGCCTTGGACTGGCCCTGCCACACCCTCAGAGCAGATGGCTGAGCAGCTTCATTCTAGGGACAGGATGAGTTCCTAGGAATTGTGCTGTTCAAAGCTTAAGTCTCAGCAAAGCCCAACCCCAAGATAGTCTCTTCTCCTCGTCAGCACCCTGCTTGATCCCAGGATGGGCTCAGGGCAGAGCGGCCAGGCAGTGCCAGCGAAAGCAGCTGTGCCTCGTGCGGGACTGAATTGGCGAGGTGGCCGCTGCCTGGTGCATCCCGAGGGGGCAGGAGGCACCAGCTGCACCCAGCACTGCCTCTGGGGAGCGAGGAAGAAGACAAGGTCCTGACAGCACTGATGCAGACACACGTGGGGGCTGGGGAACAGGTAGAAGGATCAGGAAGCGAGAGAGGCTGGGGCCGTGAGAGGAGCCTTCTGCATCTGTCTGGACAGTTTAGAAAAGTAGGGCTTGGGGTTGTTAAAGCTGCCCTGCAGCAAGCTCTGCATTCTGGCCTGTCTGAGACACCGTCCCTTATATCTGCCCCCACCTACCTTTCTCCTTGGCCCTGGCACGCCTGGAATGCCAACTAATGCTTACTAGCTTACTGTGAGGCAATCTAGTAATAAGGCTCACTCTTTCACAGCACCGGAGACCTGCCTGGTCCCTGCCCGGAACAATGCAGAAGAGCTGGGCTCTCCCAGCCTGCTCCGTCTGCTCCCCGGAGCCTCCCTAACCTGAGTCTGTCTGTCTCTCTCTGCAGTCCCACCCTCTGTACCTGTGCAATGCCAGTGATGACGACAATCTGGAGCCTGGATTCATCAGCATCGTCAAGCTGGAGAGTCCCCGACGGGCCCCCCGCCCCTGCCTGTCACTGGCCAGCAAGGTAGATTCACACTCGACCCTGCACACGCCCTGAACTTCACCCAGCTCTGGGCTGTGTGAGGCCCCTGGGCGCTCCTGAGAGTGAAGGGCCTGATTCCCTCAGGGTTTTAACCCATGGCGGGTCTGAAGAGCTGGAAGTGCATCCTCTGTCCTGCTCCCAGCCAGCACCAGCAAGACTCTGGAACCTTCCTCCAGGCATGGGCCCCCTCCCCCTCACTTGGGAGTTCTGAGCCCCTTCCCCTGCCCAGCAGTAGAGGAAAGGGGTCCACTGAAGCATTTTTCCATCTTCAGAAACACTTCCTGAGTACCGTGCAAAACAGCAGAAAGAGAAGCCATTGCCCCTACCTGTAAAAAGTTCACGCTTTTCCTCTGAGGTTGCAGACGGGCTGTGTTCAGCCCTCATACAATTTACACTTTTCAAAATGTCAATTTGAACGTGGTGGTGGTTGCCACATTAAAAAAATTCAAATGTTTAAAAATCCAGATAAAAATCCGGATTTTCAACTTCTCTGCATGAAAGAAAGCGCAGAAGCCCTGGCAGCACTTGCCCGGTGTTTCTGTGGCCGACTGAGCGGGGCTGGGCTGGGGCCGCCCTCTCTTTTGCTGCGTTCCCCTCCCAGCCTGCTGCCTCCCAGCGCTGTGAGCCTCTGCGTGGGTGACCTCTGCTTTCACTGCCAGTGACAGTGACTGTTTCCTGTGTGCTTGCTGTGTGCCAGGTACTCATGGGACAGAGTCTTCACATAATTATTATATTTACTGTCCATAATCAAGAAAGGTAGACATTGTTCCTTATTTGACATATGATGATCAGAAAACTTAAGTAACTTGTTAGGATGACATGATTAGGAAGGGGGAGAGCTGAGATTTGAACCCAGCCCTGTCTGTTTCTCAAACCTAGGCTTTTCATCTCTCCGTTGCCTCCCATGCTAGTTGTGAAAACTGAACGCATGTATAGCGTGTGGCTAGAGTGTGTGTGGCTCAGATCGGTGTGCTCCCAGAGGTGGGAAGTGAGGACAGTGACAGCCCCAACCTCCGTGCCAGCTCACTGTACTCAGGCCCGGATCCCTGTGGATCCCCTGGTCCTCCTGAGAGCCTCAAGGAAACAGCAGGATTCTTACTCATCCAGGGGGGCCGGGCCTGGCCATGCCGATGCAGGAGGAGGCCCCAGGGGCAGGACACACTCGGGGGAGCTGGAGAGAGTGGTGTCTCCACAAGGCTGTGAGGGGCCCGAATGATGGCAGCATCCCGTTAGGCTGAAGCCGCCTTGCTTCTGGATATTTCATTTCCCTTGCTTAACAAAATATGTGCAAATGTCATTCATTTATTCATTTGGTAAACAAGCTCTCAGTGCCTGTTCTGCATTAGGTAGTGTGTGTGTGTGTGGGGGGGAGAGATGGTAGAAGAAGGGTTCAGAGAAACTCTGCTGTTCTTTTTCTTCTCTTTACCTCTTATAGAAGCATACCTATTACTCTGGACATTTTCCAGAAAAGTGTAAACAAACTCACAGAAATATCTAAAATTCCGCCTCCCAGAGTTTCTGCTGTTCTTTTAAAGCAATGTATGGTCTCCCACACCCGTGAGTACTCGGCAAGCTGTGGGGCCGCATCCCCACGGGAGCTCTTCCCCCTGCCCTCAGGAGCCCACAGCCCCGCAAGACACAGGAGCCGTGTACACAGACACTGTGCGATGAGCACCATGTGGCCTGTGCCCTTTGAGGTACTTAATCCGGTTGGGACTTTGTTTCTGTCACCATAAAATGGGACTTTTACTTCCTACCCCCATGATTACTGTGAGGATGAAAATAACCTATGCAAGTGCCAAACGGTACCTGAGCTAAAACAAACACAGGAGCAAAAACCGCTAAGGGTTTAGGAGAAATGCCTTGGCGCTTGCCCTGTGATCGCAGCCCTCGCTTCCTCCCCTGCGCTGGCTGGCCTCCCCCAGCCTGGCTTGTCCCCGTCCCTCTGTGGGGATTGCTGAGCCCTGGGCTGGCTCCCAGGGGCTTCCACCTGGTCAGGTCCAAGGCTTCCCTAAGGTCCCATCCTTTGACCAGCCACGAAGCTCCTACCTGCGATCCCCTGGCTCAAAGGACGGCCGTGAGGATGGCAATGCGGGTCTTTGAGCCACCGCCAATATTCTAGAAGTCCCGCAGGCTTAACCAAAGTTCTTGGTTTTCCTTTTGGTTGTCATTCTATCAGTTCAGTGTGTTAATGTAAGCTATAGGGGAATGAATCATATGTAATAAATGTAGCTAGTTTGGTAGAACATATTTTTTTAAAAATATATAGTTCATGGAAGGCCATGGGAGGTGTAAGGAAAAGATGGGGTCTCAGGTGGGGAAAAGTCTGGAGACAGCCGGCTCCGTGCAGCTCTGCTGTGGCCTTTCCCATTGGTGTCAGTGGTGCCGTCAGCGCTGAGGGAGCTGAATCCGAATTCTGTGACTTCTGGTCATCTCTCAAGCCAGATGGCCCTGGGGTTCGAAGCCTGGCTTCTCCATGGCCCCTCAGTGTGACCCGGGCATTTGAGCTCACCTCTCCGGGCCTGTGTCCTCTTCTGTAAAAGGAGAATAGTAATAGGACTTATGAGTAGTTACGGGGATTTAATGAGGCAGTACAGATGGAAGCCCTCAGTCCCGTGCCTAGCACGCGGTAACCGCTCAATGCATGATTGCAATGACCATGACTGTCATCATCATTGGCATCCTCATTCTGTGTTTCATGGCCAACAAGGTTGGGGTATTTTTTTCTTCCATTGGTTATATCTCTTGTTCCTCTCTGAAACCCTCACCATAATTCTGGATTCTTCCATTGTTGTCACCAGTCCCACAACCTCCTCTGCCCCTCCCCCATCCAGTCACCCAGATTGGTTTCTGTTTCTTTATTAGCAGCTCCACAGGTGTCCTGTGATAAGCCAGGCCCTTATCACCTCATGCCTGGACTAGCACAGGGGCCTTTTGCCTGGTGGAAGGAGCTAGATCTGAGACAAGCAGATGGCTGCCAGCCTTGCCTCTCTCACGTGGAGACCACTACCTGGTGGTTAGAGCAGGCACCCTGGAGGCTGAAGTCCTAGGTGGGAATCCTGCCTCTACTGCTTGCGACCCTGGGCAAATTATTCAGGCTTTCTGAGCCACGGTTTCCTCCCCTCAAGAGTGGGGCTTGACTGTCTTGTAGAGTTGTGAGGAGTAAATGAAATCATAAATGCAAAGCGCATAGTAATGATTGATATAATAGTAACTAATACTTAAGGAACACTTACTATATGCCAGGGACTATTATAATACATTACGTGGATTAATTTATGTAGTCCTCACAACAACCCTATGCAGTGGGTCCTATTGTTATCCCATTTTTACAGAAAGGAAAACTGAGGCACAGACTATTTAAGTAACTTGCCCAAAGTCTCACAGCTAATAGTTATGAGCGGAGCCAGGATTCAAACCTAGGCCATCTAGGCAGAGTGGATTTCAGTACAGGTTATATCCCTTCTCCCTCCTTCCTCCCTCCCACCAGGGGATACCTCTGCCCACTGAAGATTTGTGTCAGACTTAGTGTGTGTTGGTGGAGGGGACAGTGAAGGGACGGCATTCTGAAGTAAAAAAAGCTTTGGAAACTACTGTCTGTTCCATTCATTTGTGCTCTAGGCTGTTGTTACCAGCATTATAATTTTATGTATGTGCCTTGTCTCCACAACTAGATTCTGAGCTGTTTTGGAGGACCTGGCCTTCCTTGGCTCGGTGCCCTGGGCACAGTAGGTGCTCAGTTGTTGATGAGCAGGAAATATACAGAGACTGTGGTCAGCAGAGGAAAATCTAAGGCCCAAAGAAGTGCAGCCGTTGACCAGTGAGCCCAGCGAGTAAGAGACAGAATCTCAGCTCACTCTCACCACTCTCTGTAATGGCTCCTGCTAGTAGGGGCCACAGGCAGCCGAGCTTGCTGTCCCTAAGGCTGGCTGACTCTGAAGCTTCCAGAAAGATCTCTGGCTTGTCTTTCTAAAGTCCAGTCTTCCTGTCCTGATGGCCTGCCCACACTCTCCCTGTCCTTCACATTCCAGTCTGGAAACAACTTTTTTGTTCTTTCTGCCTCCCACTTTCTTGGGTGCAGGTGGACAGGAGGCATGAGTAGCCCCAGATTGGGCTTCCGTCTGTCCCCACATCTTGCTTTTTATTCCTAGAACTCTGGATGCAGGAACCCACTGCCTGAAAGTCCTGTTTGTTTTCTCGTTGGCCAACTCTCTGGGCTCTTTGATCACTTTTACAACTTTGTAATTATGGGCTGTAATGGGCCTGGGTGTTTGAATGTCATAGTAATTGCTTTCCACTGTTCCTACCCCAATCCTTCAAAGCAAGAGGGGTGGGGAAGTAGAAAATCTCCTAAGAAGGAAGCCTTTGTCCTCCCTTATACTCTCCCAGGTGGGCCCAGGCTCTTCTTCTGGGGATGGGAAACCTGTGGCCTGGAAATCCGAATTCTGTGACTACTGGGTGACCTCTCCTACCCCTTGGCCAAGTCCCTGGAATGTGAGATTACCAGTAGGATTTCCCTACCAGGAATTCCTTTTCCCCTGGTACTTTTCCCATACCCTCACTTGGAGGGCTCTGAAGATTGGAGAGCTTCTACCTGCCTGGAATAGGCTAGGTGGGGTGGACTTCCTGGGCAGAAGTGGGTGAGGGAAGATGGAAACTATGACCTCTCCGTTTCTTCAGCAATTCCATTCTTGAGTCCTGTGAATTTCTGGTCAATTAGGTAAACCTTGTCCTAGGCCCAGCTTAGGTGCAGGTACAGGGCCCAGCCCAGCTTCTGGAGGAAGAAGGGAAGAAAGAGTAAAGCTACCCTCCTGACCAAAGTGAGGCCCTCCTCCAGCTCCCCTGCCTGTAGGCGGTGGGTTCTGAGGGGCCCCTGGGCCCTGCCACTGCCTGGGGAGTGGGATCAGGGAGCTGGGAGCTAGAAGCTGCTCCCAGCCTGCCTGGCAGGAGACTTGCCCCAACAGGCTCTCCCTGGGAAGACAAGCAGAGATCAAAGTGCGAGAGTGTGAGTAAGTCCCAGCACTGGCTCCTCTTGCTGCCACCACCACTTTCAGAGGGGTTAACTCCTTCACTGCCTGCAAGCAGACCCCAGAGTCTCAGCAGGGGTGCTAGGGGTGTGAGGTGGCAGCCTGCTCTGGGGAGGAAGGCTGGAGAGTGCCTGTGCTGGGCAGGGAGACCCACCACCAAGGCCAGGAGCAGCCCCCTCAGTGTCTGTTGGTTGTTTGCCGTTGTGCCTGCACCCCACCCTCAGCTCTTATCTCCCTCTCCTGCCCCCACACACATACCCCCTAGATCCCTGCCTTCTGTCCTCTTTCTTGCTCTGCTATCTGCTCTGCCTGGTTGGCTCGATTCTGCTTCCCAGGCCTGCTGGTGGAGCCCTGGGTGAACACGCATGAGCACAGATGCACAGTTGTGTCTTCGTGGGAACAGCCCCTCAGGATCCTCCCCACTCAAGTCTCTAATGCCACCCTAGGGAAGAGGACGAAGGGGTAAAGCGCTGGAGAGAGACTTCTCTATGTCCTTGAACAGGAGCCAGAGAAAGGGTTGGCAACCTGGAGTGTGGCAGAGAGAGAGCCCACAAGATGGGCTGGGGCTGGGGCTTTGCCATGGGGGCCTTGGGTGAGAGCAGGGTCCAGGCTCTTGGAACTTTGCCCAAGCTGGGAGATGTCCTGCAGGCTCCTCTTGTGAGGCAGGGCTGGGCCTAGAAATCCAGCTCCATTGTGAAGGAGCTCTCTACTTCTCCGCTCTCCCCTCTTCATCTCTTTTGTCCCCCCCGGGGGTGCTGATCACTCCCTACTCTTTGTTCTCAAGCCTCTTAGTGAAGGCAGAGGACTGAACCCTGGCAGCAGGGGCTGTGTCTTATTTGTCCTTAGCCATAGAGCCAGGTCCACCACCTGGCACCCAGTAAACCATTGCTAAGGGTTTGTTTCATTGCAAAACGAAGGACTGAATGTTATTCTTTGAAGGCAGTGGGGCCTTGGTGAGCTCAGGGGGCAGGACAGGGAACCCTAGACCCCCTGACACCTTATCACATATATATATCTGAGTATATAGAGGTGCAGTGTACAAAATCCTCGAAGGGGATGGATGTGTGAGGGGCTAAGACTGGCCCTGAGCGGGCTGCGTCCTTCTCTGACCCCAGCTGAAACTCTGCTGCGTGTCCGCAGGCGCGGATGGCGGGCGAGCGAGGAGCCAGTGCTGTCCTCTTCGACATCACTGAGGATCGTGCTGCCGCTGAGCAGGTACCCAGGGCCATCTGAGTGTTGGAGGAGGGGGCTAGACGGAGGGAAGATGGAGTTTTCAGGGGAGGGAGAAGTCACAGAAGGCCTGTGGGCACGTTCCCTCCCGCAGCTGCAGCAGCCCCTGGGGCTGACCTGGCCAGTGGTGCTGATCTGGGGTAATGACGCTGAGAAGCTGATGGAGTTTGTGTACAAGAACCGAAAGGCGCACGTGAGGATTGAGCTGAAGGAGCCCCCAGCCTGGGTAAGCACATTAGACCTCCAGACCCTGCCCCGGCACCTGAGTTCACACCCACTTTGTCCCATGGCGACTCCCATCAAAAGCCCTTAGACTTCTGGAGCTGAAAGAAACCCTTACAACCCTCCAGTCCAACTTCTCCCACCAGCTGTGTGGCTCTGGGCAAGTTTCTCCTCCTCTCTCAGCCTCCTCTGCAGAATGAACAGATGGAGCCAGATGAGTTCTGAAGTTGGTTTTGCACTGTGGTTTCATGGCATGGAAGGGCAGAGACATTCCAGGAATGAAACCCTGACCCCTGACCCCCGCCCCCTGCTTGGTGCTTCTCCACTGGCTAGGAACTTCGCCCAGTTGCTCACTAGCAGGTAGCTCCCACCTGGCAGAGGGATCCCTTTCTCTTTTTCCCCAGCACATGGGTTTTCAGATAGTGCTTCTCACAGCTGACACGTGGAGGATCCCTTCCTGCAAGTGACCTTGGGCAGAGAGGGCCCCCTCACCCCACTCCCATGTTCTTCCCCACCTCATCCCTTCAGGTAGACGTTTCCAAGGGAACCTCCAGCTGTCTGTGTGTGTCTCCTGGGCTCCTGTGTTTCCTCCCAAGTAGGCCCAGCCAGCTCCTTCCAGAAGTATGACTCTTTCCCCCCTGCTTACTCCCCCAGCCGGATTATGACGTGTGGATCCTCCTGACGGTGGTGGGCACCATCTTCGTGGTCATCCTGGCCTCGGTGCTGCGCATCCGGTGCCGCTCCTGCCACAGCAGGCCGGTGAGCGTGCAGGCTCTCTCGGCGGGCGGACGTGTGTGTATGTGTGTGTGTGTGCGTGCATGCGAGTGCATGCATGTAAGCGGGAGGGTGCAGGGCAGGAATAAGAAAATGAGGAAGGCAGGCGTTCCTTTATGCCCGTGACGCGGTTTACATCTGAATACCCCAGCGTCTGTTTGTGTTGATTTCCAGCAGCCTCTCCCCACGTTGCTCATTCATTCATTCAGGGAATATACCGAGTTCCCACTGTGTCAGGCACTGTTGCAGGTGTAAGGGTAGTGAACAAAGACAACAAAAAACGCCTGCCCTCAAGGAGCTTTCATTCTAGTGAGAAGAGACAGAGACAGACGATAAACAAAATAAATAAGTGAAATATATAATATTTTAGATGGTGGTATGTACTACAGAGAAAAAGGTGCAAAAGGTTCTGGGCATGGTGGCTCATGCTTGTAATCCCAGGACTTTGGGAGGCTGAGGCAGGAAGATCGCTTGACCCTAGGAATTTGAGACCAGTCTGGGCAACATAGCAAGACCCCACCTATCAAAAATTTTAAAAATTATTTAGGTGTGGTGGCATGTACCTATAGTCCTAGCTACTCAGTAGGCTGATGCAGAAGGATCACTTGAGCCCAGAAATTTGACGCTATAGTGATCTATGATTGTGCCACTGCACTCCAGCCTGGGCAACAGAGTGAGATCCTGTCTCAAAAAAAAAAAAAAAAAAAAAATTGCAAAGGGGAGAGGGAATGCAAGGGAACAGGGCTAATTTTTAAAAGCAAGTCCAGGCCGGGCACGGTGGCTCACGCCTGTAATCCTAGCTCTTGGGAGGCTGAGGCGGGCGGAATGCTCGAGGTCAGGAGTTCAAAACCAGCCTGAGCAAGAGGGACCCCGTCTCTACTATAAATAGAAAGAAATTAATTGGCCAACTGATATATATATAAAAAATTAGCGGGCATGGTGGCGCATGCCTGTAGTCCCAGCTACTCGGAGGCTGAGGCAGAAGGATCGTCGACCCAGGAGTTTGAGGTTGCTGTGAGCTAGGCTGACGCCACGGCACTCACTCTAGCCTGGACAACAAAGCAAGACTCTGTCTCAAAAAAAAAAAATAAAATAAAATAGAATAAAAGCAAGTCCAGGGAATGCTGCATGGAAAAGATGACATTACAGCAAAGACCTTAAGGGGGAGGGGGTAGTATGCACAGATTTATGGGTAGAAAGTGATCAAAACAGAACAGTAGGTACAAAGGCCCTGAGGCAGAAGTATGCCTGCCACATCTGAGGAACAGTGGGAAGGCTTTATGACTGAAATAGAGTAAGAAAGACGGTAGAGTAGGAGGTGGGGGCCCAGTTGGACTGTTCAGGCACTTTGTTTTTTATCCTGGGTCAAATGGGAGCCATTGGAGTATTTTGAGAGAAGGGTCGCCATGACCTGACTTACATTTTGACATGATCTCTCTTGCTGCTGTAATGAGAATAGATGGCAGGGAAGCGAGGTTGGAAACAGAAACCAGATAAGAGGCTATTACAGGTATCTGGGTGACAGTAAGGGTAGCTTGGGTCAGGGAGGTAGCAGTGAAAATGGTGAGAAATAGATTCTGGGTATATTTTGAAGGTAAAGCCAATAGCTTTACTAATGGATTGACTGTGGGGTGTGAAAACAGAAGAGTCAAGGATGGCACCAAGATTTATGGCCTGAGCAATTAAAAGAGGAGAATTGCCATTAGCTGAAATGAGGAAGACTGGTGGGGGGGACAGGCACGTGCTTGGGAGCAGGTTAGTAGGATCATGAGTTTGGTTGGGGACATGTTAAGTTTGATGTGCCTATTAGATGTCCAAGTTGAGATGTCAAGCAGAAGTTGGACAAAAAGTTTCTGTCGTGGGTTATCAGAGAAGAAAGCTAATGGTATAAGCAGGTGGGCTTGGCCTGCTTGGCAGAACCATGTATCAGCTCCAAGGAGACAAACTCCCAGGGGTGGTCAATTGGCTGTGTGACCTAACTGAGCGATAAGGAACTGAGTCCAGACTGGGGTTCAGGGGTGAAGGAAGAGGGGCCCTTCTCCATTTTGAGCACCGCTCCTCTGCCCAGGATCCCCTGCAGCAGCGAACAGCCTGGGCCATCAGCCAGCTGGCCACCAGGAGGTACCAGGCCAGCTGCAGGAGGGCCCAGGTGGACTGGCCAGACTCAGGTAGCAGCTGCAGCTCCGCCCCCGTGTGTGCCATCTGCCTGGAGGAGTTCTCTGAGGGGCAGGTAAGGCCGGCCTGTGCTTCACCTCTGTGACCAGACAAGGGAGGGAGATTGAAGCTGGGTGGGGGTGGGCAGGCTTAGGGCTGGTATGGGAGCCCTGGCTACATCCGTGTCCTGTGTGTCCTGCATGGGGCCAGGGTAGGGGATCGCCCTAGGTTTGGTCACTTTCCTGGCCTGTCAGTGAAAGAGCACTATTGTTGGTTGAGAGTGTACCATGTGCCAGGCTGCAGTGGTGCTTTAGAGGCACCATCTCATTTTAGCCCCAGAGCAGTAAAGGGTAGATTAGTTTTTTATGCTCATTTTACAGCAGAAAGCTATCTATTAAGAAACTTGGCCAGGTGCGGTGGCTCATGCCTATAATCCTAGCATTCTGGGAGGCCGAGGCGGGCGGATTGCTCGAGGTCAGGAGTTCAAAACCAGTCTGAGCAAGAGCGAGACCCCCATCTCTACTAAAAATAGAAAGAAATTACCTGGACAACTAAAAATATATAGAAAAAAAAATTAGCCAGGCATGGTGGTGCATGCCTGTAGTCCCAGCTCCTTGGGAGGCTGAGGCAGAAGGATCACTTGAGCCCAGGAATTTGAGGTTGCTGTGAGCTAGGTTGACATCACGGCACTCTAGCCCGGGCAACAGAGTGAGACTCTGTCTCAAAAAGAAAGGAAGGAAGGAAGGGAGAGAGGGAGGGAGAGAAGGAGGGAGGGAGATAGAAGAAAGAAGAAAAAAAGAAAGAAATTTGTCAAAGGTCATGCAGCTAAGTGCAAAATCCAGCTTTGCTACCAAAGCTTATACCTTTTCTATTCTACTGTGAGGTCATCTGCCAAGTAGGTGATACCAAGAAGGAGAGGCCAGAAGGAATCAGGGGAGTGTCCTGGTTCCTGGCCACTCGGTGGCTACAGAAACCCCCTTTTTTCTCCAGGAACTACGGGTCATTTCCTGCCTCCATGAGTTCCATCGTACCTGCGTGGACCCCTGGCTACATCAGCACCGGACTTGCCCCCTCTGCATGTTCAACATCGTAGGTAGGAGGTGGGGCAAGGACTCCCCTGTGTGCAGGCGGACTGGTCTAGAATGTGGCTTCCCTCTGGGAAAGGGAAAGAGAAAGCAGAACTGCCGTGATAGTAATTTAAGCTGTGCACTGCTTAAGAGTGCCTCGCCTGAGTGAGAGGGCTGCTCACGGTGTAGACACCTTTATTATTTTAAAAATTATCTTGTGGCCGGGTACACTGGTTCACATCTGTAATCCTAGCACTCTGGGAGGCTGAGGTGGGAGGATCACTTGAGGTCAGGAGTTCAAGACTAGCCTGAGCAAGAGCAAGATCCTGTCTCTACAAAACAGGAAAATTAGCTGGGCAGGGTAGTACATACCTATAGTCCTAGCTACTTGGGAGGCTGAGGAAGGAGGATCACAGGAGTTTGCAGTTGCAGTGAGTGGTGATGACACCACTGCACTCTAGCCAGGGCAACAGAGTGAAACTTTGTCTCAAACAACAACAGCAAAAAAATAAATAAATAAATAACTTTGTGACAGCTCTGTTGATTCTAAATTTGGGTGACTTGTATATTTATTATTCTAATTTTCTGGCAATAAAGTATCCTATTCTAACAAAATCAGTATATTGTGATAGTTTTCTAAGAGGTGATAGTGAAATAAATATCTTGAGGAAAGAGAACATTTTTCTAATTCACCCAAAGGTGCCATGTGGGCGAGCAGTGGCCCTGGGTCAAAGGGCCCCAAATGGCTGGTGGGAGGAGCAGGGACTGACATGTACAGTGGGACTCTCGGGGCAGACAGCCTGACTAAGGGAGTCCCTGGGCACAGGCAGATGAGGATGTCCTTGGTCCCCCAAACTCTGAGCTCACAACTACACAGAGCCAAAAAGGTTAGCCACAGCCACACACTTCTGAATGCATTTTCCATAGGTGTGTGGGCTCAAACACCTGTGCTCTCTGTTCTTTTTTCCAGAAGGAGATTCATTTTCTCAGTCCCTGGGACCCTCTCGATCTTACCAAGAACCAGGCCGGAGACTGCACCTCATTCGCCAGCATCCCGGCCATGCCCACTACCACCTTCCTGCTGCCTACCTGTTGGGCCCTTCCCGGAATGTAGTGGCTCGGCCCCCACGACCTGGTCCCTACCTACCATCCCAGGAGCCAGGTGTGGGCACTCGGCACCACCGCCTCCCGAGAGCTGCGCATCCCCGGGCCCCAGGCGAGCAGCAGCGCCTGGCGATGGCCCAGCACCCCTATGCACAGGGCTGGGGGCCGAGTCGCCTCCGCTGCACCTCCCAGCACCCAGCGGCTTGCCCAGGGCCCCTGCGCCGGGCCAGACCTCACGACAGCAGTGGATCTGGAGAAAGCTATTGCACGGAACGCAGTGGATACCTGGCAGACGGGCCAGCCAGTGACTCCAGCTCAGGGCCCTGTCATGGCTCTTCCAGTGACTCAGTGGTCAACTGCACAGACATCAGCCTGCAGGGCATCCACGGCAGCAGCTCCACTTTCCGCAGCTCCCTGAGCAGTGACTTTGACCCCCTGGTGTACTGCAGCCCTGAAGGGGATCCCCAGGGGGAGGAGGTGCAGCCTAGCGTAACCTCTCGGCCCCGTTCCTTGGACTCAGTGGTGCCCACGGGGGAAACTGAGGTTTCCAGCCATGTCCACTACCACCGCCACCGGCACCACCACTACAAAAAGCGGTTCCAGTGGCATGGCAGGAAGCCTGGCCCAGAAACTGGGGTCCTGCAGTCCAGGTCTGCTGTTCTTCGGACACAGCCCCAGCCAGAGCCACCGTCTCCTGATCCGCAAGTCATCAGATCCGGCCCAGCAGCCCCTTCGGGGCAGCTCCCCAACCCACAGAGGCCCAGGGCCCTCCCTGAGCCTGCCCCTGGCCCTGCTGAAGCCTCCAGCCCCTGCTCCAGTCCCAGCCGTCTCTTCAACTTACAGAAGTCCAGCCTCTCTACCCGACACCCGCAGAGGAAACGGCGGGGCGGTCTCTCAGAGCCCACCCCAGCCTCTCAGCCCCAGGACTTGACTGTGCACCCAGCTTGCCAGATTTTTCCCCATTATAGCCCCAGCCTGGCATATTCCTGGTCCCCAGAGGCCCACCCATTGATCTTCGGACCTCCAGGCCTGGACAGGAGGCTGCTTCCAGAAACTCCAGGCCCCTGTTACTCAAATTCACAGCCAGTGTGGCTGTGTCTGACTCCACGCAGGCCCCTGGGACCACACCCGCCTGGGGAGGGGCCTTCTGAATGGAGTTCTGACAACACAGCGGGCAGTCCATGCCCTTACCCACACTGCCAGGTGCCGCCAGCCCAGCCTGGTAAGTGTTCCGGGGAAGCAGGTATGGTGGGGAGGGGAGGCTGGAGCTGGATATTGCAGGAAAGTGAAGTCAGCCAACAAGGGGTTGCCGGAAGCTGAGAAGGATACAGCAGAGGTGACATTCAAAATACTGAACCACCAGCACAGCATAGCATATTGGCGGGAGCACTGGAACCCCCTGGCTTTGCCAGGTGCCACCCCTTTAGTTGGCAGATCATAGGGAGGTCCTAGGGGAGCTGCTAGTGTGGCTGAGGCATCAGAAAGGCACTTGGGGTCGTTTGGGGCTGCAGCTCCCACATTGTAATAACGGCACAGCTCTTCCAATGCTCACAGCTCAGTATTAGCCCCTGACACAAAGAAGGCCAGGAAGTGTTCCCTGGGGAAAGCATGCTCTTATAAGAGAAATAATTACAGATAGCCATGTGACTAGGCCATATGAAAAGAGCTACGTGAGTGATGAGAAACATACAGAAACCACAGGTGGTTTCTAGGAGCTCTGTGGGTCTTAGCTTTTCTGCTCTTCCCTTGTGGTAAAAGAACAAGTAGGACATTCCTTCCAAACACTTTTATTAATAAGACCAACCTCATTTTCTTGGGGACTCAGTGTATCCCTGTATTATAACCAATGGAGATAATGTAAATTCTTAGCTTTAACTTGGTATTTATTTGCCCAATTACTCCTCTTCCCCTCGCAGGGACTCTACCTCCCACCCTGCCCCATCTGCTTCCATTGTGTGGACAGCACAGCTCTTTGTCTACCGCCATAGCTGGGAGGACCCCTTCCACCCCAAGAGGGGACCCAAAAGTTCTGAAATATAAGACCTCACAGCCCAGGAATCCTACAGGCAGGACTTGAGAGCTGCTATCATTCATTCATTCATTTCTTCATTCATTTCCCTCCTCCCTCCCTGCTTTTTTCTTTCTGACTGTATGCTTGCTTTGTGCTAGGTTCCAGGCTAGGCTCTGAGGACATGGAACTTGCCAACCAGGAGACCCTTGTCCATCCCTGTTACAGTACAGCAGACCATTGCTTTCATAGAGCCATGTGACGTGAGCCTTGGCCATGTGCTTGATGATTCTGTTTGGACCCTGTCGTGTGTATTTTCCGTGCTGCCCGTACCAGACACTACCTCCCTGTTCTCCCAAACTCAGAACTAGTGTCACAGCCTGTTTTCCTTGCTGCTTACCCCTGGTCAGGGTCACGTTCTGTTAACTATATCACTGCTAGCTGTATCATATCCCCCTCAAGTCCAGAACTGACAGCCCCGACAGAGCCCTCAGCTCTCCCTTCCCTTTTACGGGCCCTGGAGGCTGGGTGCCGCCCAGCTGGCGTGGTGGCCCAGGGAGTCATGCAGCACAGCTGCCCTGCTCTCCTACCTTCCATACTGCTGCCAGGGCTTTCTGCCTTACAGTAAACTGTCTAGAAATCTCCAAATGTTCTGTTTTGTCCACAAAAAGAACTGTAACCTGCTTTGGCCTTCAAGGCTTCAGCACCAGCCAGACTCCATTTTCTACTCATTTTCCTCCCCCGCCTTATTTTCCGCTCTTTCCCTTCCCTTCCCCTGCCCCATGCTTTAGCCACACTGGGTAAATACTTCTTGTCGTTCCTGAACCCCAGAATATCCGCCTGCTTTCCCTATTCCCATAAATCCAATTATCACCTATTCCGGCAGGGCCAGCTCATTTATTTCCCACTTCTGGGAAGCCTTTCCTGACTGCTGCACTTGGACATGGTCCCTCCCCTTCCTTGCTGCATCTCTTATGACCTCTGTCCTGTCCTGCTGCCATCACAGCCATTTGCATGCACACCTTCTCTCCTATGAGCTTATCAGGTCCCGGCTTGTTCTTTTGTTCTTCTATTTGGCACATGGTAGCAGGCCAAATTCACAATGAATGCTTAATAAATATTTATTGGGTGAATGAATGAATAGTAAGTATTAGTAACACACTGGTGCTCTATATGTTTCTCTTTCTCTAGGTTTGTTTTTCTCTCCCTTGTGTCCAACTGGGGGCCCTCTCAGCTTTCAATCTAATCATCCTTTCCAGATACATTCCCTGCTCCTCCCTGTCTGTGGTCCCATCCCAGCCACACTCTCCCGCAGGTGGGAGAAGCAGGTGCTTGAGGTGCTTGACCTCCCGCAGGTGCTTGACCCTCAGTGATCTCTTTCCTCTCCTCTCTCTAAATACAGGCTCAGAGGAGGAGCTCGAGGAGCTGTGTGAACAAGCTGTGTGAGATGCTCAAGCCAAGCTCCAACCAAGAGTGTGCTCTGGATGACTTTGGGCCCTACCTGGCACAGAGTCCTGCTCCTGGGAGAAGAAAGGACCTTGGCAAACACCTGTCTTTTTGCCACACTTTCTGGAAGCACTGGAAGAGGAGCAGTGATGGTGGGGAGCAGGAGGTGCTGTTTCCTGCTCCCAGCTCTAGACCTTGTCTGCAGAACACATCTGCAGTGCAACAAGTCTGTATCCAGCCAGGCAACCAGCTACTGCCTGTGTGCACGTGTAGGCTGGATCCCTTGAAGGCTGAGTTTTTTGAGGGCAGAAAGCTTTTTATGGGGAACTGGGTATTACAGAGGTGCTGCTCTTTCCCCCAGCCCTACTAGGTCTCCCTTGCACCAGACCTCATGTTGATACCAGCCAATGGGTTCAGCGGAATGAATGATCCCTTAACACCTCCTTCCTTAGCTGAGCTCTGCACACCAGCTTTGGCCCCTCCACGGTAAAGCTGCTACATCAGGGGCAGCTCAGCTTTATCATTTTCCTTCTTTGCCAAAAGGACCAGGAGCATAGGTGAGCCCTGAGCCCTAAATAGAGGGATCTTTGAAGCTTTTTCAGGCAGTACCTTCCCTGGTGCATAATGGAGGATATTTCCCCCTTCTTGTCTTTAAATGGTTCTTAAATTTCAGAGCCACTATATTAAGTCAGAGTGGAGGCTCTGGGAAGCCAAGGTGTGGAGTTCTATCCCCGAGGTGGATCTAGCACCTTGAAGAACCTAGGATGAAGCCACTGATCTTCAAACTCGCTTGTGACTCCAGCAGCCCCAGTTCCTCTGGAGGTTCAGAGTGAGAATAGTGGGTAAACTATCCCCGTGAAGGTCTCCTGTCTCAAAGTCCTGACTTTCTGCTGGACTTCATCTGGGAAGTGGGAAGATGAAATGAAGGTAGAAAAGGCAGAATTACAGCTGAATGGGGACAACAGAGTTCTTCTCTAGGAGAAGTTTTGCCTCAGAGCAGAGATGGAGAACAAAGGGGAACGAAGGAAAAACAAAGTGTGACCCTTGGGTCTGGAGGGCCCAGAAGCCCAACTTCCCAGTATAAGCCATACAGGCCGGGGACCCACACGAAGGTGTGCATGCAAGAGTGTAGTTGGAGCAGGAAGTCTGGGCCGAGCAGCTTATACCGAGTGGGCAAGGGCTGAGGGGCCTCCAAGGGGTGACATTCACCCCAGGGCAGCCCGACCATTGCTGGCCCCTCAGGCATTATCCCATTTGGAATGTGAATGTGGAGGCAAAGTGGGCACAGCACCCCACTTGGGAATCTTCTTCCCTCAGGCGGTGGGGAGAATAGCACCTAAGCACCCACATGGGTATTTATATCTGAAGCAGACAGAAAGACGCTTGAATCAGGCACTATGTTGAAAAATGTATTTATTTGCTAATATATTTATCCATAAATGCAGTCTGGTCTCGTGGTTTTGTTCTGACACGACTGTCACTCAGGGTAACAACTTCATTTCCCTCTACATCAAGAGAAATACATTATTTCTAATATCAGAGGCTACGCTCTGATTTATGAAAGGACAGGGTAGAGTAGTGGGCTTGGCAACAAGAACTGGTTTGTAAGCTCCTAAAAACATGGCTTAGTGAGATCAGGGAAGGAGAAAGCATGACTGAATTCTCATGTTGGTTCAGTCATATTATTGTACCATTCAGGTCACACTTCAATTTACAATGCTTCAGTGACTTAACCTTGTGACCTTGGGCAAAATACTCTGTGGCTCACCTTTTGCATCCATAAAATGGGCCTACTCCGCAGTTGTTGCAAGGTTTACATGAGATAGCAGATAACATGTTCCAAAGTGGAAAACATCCAAACCTGGGTCACAGAGCCCTTCTGAACACAGCATGGGACCGGCAACAAGAAGTAGGCCTGCCTTGAAGAAACTCAGTTTCAATTAGGAGGCTGCGATGCAAGGATAGAACAGCAGGGCCTGAAACTATTTATATCCCAGAGCTCCCATTCAGATAAACACAAATGACTAGGTTCTGCCCACACACCTGGCTATTGTGAGGGGGAGCAAGCTGGTGGTTTCCTGGTATGAAGAATTCCCCAGGGCCCGAGGGGCCTTTTTGCTGTCTTCCTCGCACCACACAATTTCCCCTTCTGCTTCTCCAGGAAAGGTCTGGTAGGGGTAGTGATTGTCTGGCACCCAGTTGTGACCCACAGAGCAAAGCATTTAGCTTTCCACAGGGTGAAATGAAAGAAAAAAAATTAAAGGACACCTAATCTACAGATGTTTAGTAAAAGAACTGTCTAAATGCTCAGAGCTGCACAAAGTATAATTCATCAGCTGGAACGAGCACACATACCTAAAGAGTTTTAAAAAATAATTACATATGCATTTTTTCGGCCGTCGGCCCACAGGCCAGCATTCCTGTGGACGGCAAATGGAAACCCTATAGTGCGCTCGCAGTTAGAAGGAAGGGTGTCCCTGGGTTTGTTTTTAAGTCTCTGCGGAGATAGTCCGGCCATTGCCCCACTGCTTGTAAAACGGGAAGACAAAAAAGAATCTCGGCTATCTGGCAAGCGGACAGCGGCAGTCTAGATCAAACGGCCCGCGCCGCAGATCCGGCTCCGGCCCGGCCGGCGAGCTCCCGCGCATGCGCCAGCCGCCCCGCCCCGCCCCGCCCCCACGGGGACCGCTGACGGGCCCAACGGCCGCCCCTCACAGCCCTACCGCCGGCCCAGGTGGCTGCTGGTCGTCCCGCCTCCTCGCCCCGCCTCCCCGGTGGGAGAAACCATCTCCTCGGGAGGGGGGAGGCCAGTGCCCTCCCACACCGGAAGAGGAAATCTGAGGCGCCAGAAGTGGCGGGCATTCTGGGTAATGAGCTGTTTACTTCCGGCGGGAGAGGAAGCTGTGGCAGTATTCCTCGGTGTTGTTTTTACCGTCGGAAAGGATGGCCCTGGAGACGGTACCGAAGGACCTGCGGCATCTGCGGGCTTGTTTATTGTGTTCGCTGGTCAAGGTGTCCGTCGGGGACCTGGTTGTAGGGGCGCTGGGGGACCAAGGTGGGGGACAGAGGGTGGAATGGGGCTGGGACACAGTGAAGGGGAAAGTAAGGTCCAGGACTCCAGGAGGTGGTGGTGGGAGGAATGGGAAAACGAAGGAGGCCATTGTTCATGTCGTAGGAACGCGGACAGGTCTTGCAGCTGAAGGCACGGGCGGTCTAACATGCCTTTGAATCGTCAGTTCTTAGCACATGTCTGGCCCTTTAACAGATGTTGGAGCCGAAGGATACTGGGGGGTCAGAGGAGGGTGGAGATCCGCAGCCGGGAGGGTGCCTGATCCTGAGGAGACTAGAGAAAGGAATAGATAAAACGTAATTGGGAACGGGAGGAGGGAGTATGAGGGTGGAACTTAGGAATGGAGCTTTAGGAGTAGGGGGTGGGGAACCTGATGAGACAGAGCCAACATAGAGAACCAAGAGGTTGACCAGGTCAGAGTATTGAAAAGGTACTTTTTGTTTTGGCCTTGTTCATGCTTGATTCCCCTTTTCATATTTTCCCCCCTACCAGACCATAGACCAGTTTGAATATGACGGTTGTGACAATTGCGATGCATACTTACAGATGAAGGGTAACCGAGAGATGGTATACGACTGCACCAGCTCTTCCTTTGATGGGTAAGCCCCTTTCAGAGTCCATCATTCACTTCTGCATCACCACACCCCAAGAAGTAAATGTGGCGCGCAGGCTTTTTAAGATCATAATCGGAGGACATGGTAGTCCTGTGCATCTAGTACAGTAGCTGTTGAGCACTTCAATGTGGCTAGTCCAAATTAGAATATACTTTAAGTGTACAATGTACACCAGATTTCAAAGACTTACCATGAGAAACAATGTAAAATATCTTATTTTGATGTGAAATAGTGAAATTCATTTCATCTTTTGCCTTTACTCTTTTAAACATGGCTGCTAGAAAATTTAAAATGATATATGCTTTTATTGTATTTCCATTGAACACTGCTTCACAATCGCAGAGACTTTTATCTTATGTATCATCCCTGGCACAGTGCCTAGAAGGTGATAGATGTTTAATAAATGTTTGTTGAATGCATGAAAATCTTTTTTGAAAATGAAGGGAAGGGAAGGTACAGTAATGGTAGATTATTTCCCCAAAGCCAGTGCTTTTAGGTGTCTCAAAGAGGTATAATAAGAAAAATTTTCCATGGTAGGATTGTCCAGTGGGGAGAAGGGGAAACCAGAGGAACTCAAGTGGCCAGGTCACACTTCTCTTTCCCCAAGGTAGGTGCCAGAGGAAGGTATTGTTCAGAGGTTAAAAAGGTGCTGTTAAGTTTCTTTTGGCCTATAGGCCAATTCAGGGTTTATATATACACTAGGCTCAAACTCAGTAATTGCCTAAGTTCTTTCAGGGTAGGCCAACACCATTCCTTCTTTAATTTCTTTTAGGAAAGAATAAAAGATTGGGCAAAAAAGATGTTGGTATGGAACCTTTACTTTCTACACATGCATATGCACACTCAGATACTCTCGTCCCTTTGTTTATTTGTTAGCACAATACCATTCAATGCCAGCAAATGAGTGAAGGGACTCCCACTCCCATCTGTGGGTAAAATAGCATAGAGATGTCAAGAGTTACACAATGAAATAGTTTCTAGTAAGAGAGACACAGTGTGAAGTTTTTGTATATTAGCGTTTTTTTTTAAACTGTGGTAAAATATACATAACTATGGACATTTTAACTATTTTTAAGTGTATAGTTCAGTGGCATTCACACTGTTGTACAGCCATCTCCACCATCCATCTTCAGAACTTTTTTTATCTGTACCCATTAAACATTAACTCCCTATTCACTCCTTCCCCCACCCCCTGGCAACCACCATTCTTTCTGTCTCTGAATTTGATTAGGTAACTCATGTAAATGTAGCATTTTACTTTTGGCCTCTTTCACTTAGCGTAATATCTTCAGAGTTCATGTTGTAGCATGTGTCAGAATTTCCTTCCTTTTTTGAGCTGAATAATACTCCATTGTATGTTTATATACCACATTTTGTTTATCCATTTATCCATCAATGGTCACTTGTCTTGCTTCCACTTTTTGGCTATTGTGAATAATACTGCTATGAACACAAATGGACAAATACCTGTTCAAATCCCTGCCTTCACTTCTTTGGGGTATATAGATGCTCCTCAACCCATGATGGAGTTATGACCCAATAAACCCATTGTAAGTTGAAAATATTGTTAGTAAAAAATGCATTTAATACACCTAACCTATCACATAGCTTAGCCTGGCCTACCTTAAATGTTGTATAACCTTTATATTAGCTAACTGGGAACTATGGTTCACTGCTGTTGCCTGGCATCACTCCTGTGCATGTCATTAGCCTGGGAAAAGATCAAAATTCAAAAACGGGTTTCTACTGAATGTATATTGCTTTTATACTATTATAAAATTGAAAAACCATGAATAGAAGATCATCTATACATCCAGAAGTAGAATTGCTAGATCATATGGTAATTTGATGTTTAATATTTTTTATCAAAAGCAAAAGCAAGCTGGAGTATAAATGTTTAATTTTTTGAGGAACTGTCGAGTCTTCCATAGTGGCTGTACCATTTTACATTCCCACCAGCAGTGCTCAAGGGTTCTGTTTTTTCCCCATTCTCTCCAACACAATAGCCATCCTAATGGGTGTGAATTTGTAGTTTTTGATTTACATTTTCTAATATTTTTTTTTTTTTGAGACAGAGTCTCACTTTGTTGCCCAGGCTAGAGTGAGTGCCGTGGCGTCAGCCTAGCTCATAGCAACCACAAACTCCTGGGCTCAAGCAATCCTGCTGCCTCAGCCTCCTAGGTAGCTGGGACTACAGGCATGTGCCACCATGCCCGGATAATTTTTTCTATATATATTAGTTGGCCAATTAATTTCTTTCTATTTATAGTAGAGACAGGGTCTTGCTCTTGCTCAGGCTGGTTTTGAACTCAAGCAATCCACCCGCCTCGGCCTCCCAGAGTGCTAGGATTACAGGCGTGAGCCACCACGCCCGGCCTACATTTTCCTAATTATTAATGATATTGAACAACTCAGGCTTGTTGGCCATTTATATCTTTGGAGAAATGTCTATTCAAATTCCTTGCCCATTTTTGAATCTGGTTGTTTGGTTTTTATGTTGAGTTGTAGAAATTATTTATACATTCTAGTGCATAGTTGGTCTTATAAATTGGCAAATAAAAAGCTAAAGATTAGAGGAGGCCTGGATGACCTCAACCAGAAATGGAAGAGATAGCACTTTCTTCTTAAGAAAGAAATATGGGATTTTTAAGGAAGTTGAGGTGAGAGATGGGTACAAAGAACATTCCAAATAAAGAGAGTGATTGGAGCAAGGCATGGGGTGGGAAAAAATAGGGTATGCTTGGAGAACGGTGGAAATTCTGTTTAGGGTAAATCATAAGATTGGATAACAAGAACTCTAAGCCTAGATAGAAAGATAGATTGTGACAGACAGAAAAGAATATACTTGTGGCCAGAAGATTGGCCTACAGACTTGCCTATTCCACATTAATCTGCAGGAACAGGGGGCTGTTGTTATGCTATTTGTCACCTCTTGAGGTAGAGTGAGTTCCACTTAAAGCACATGGCTGAGAATGTAGGGTTTGGATGGGATGGGACTCTCTTCAAATAAGAATCCAAGGTTGTTGCCAAGAGAAGAGGGAATGGGTATCAAAGAGGCAATCCATAAATATCAGTGCTCAGAATAGACTTGACACAATAGGCAATCAATAAGCATTTGATTGAATGTGTAAGTGACAAAAATGACCCTGATGCTTAGCCCTTGAATATCCTTCTGTTACCGGTCCTCTGGAAACAGAGCTACCTGGGAAGAACTATTAGGATAATAAGGAAAGCTAATGCTTATTTAGTGTCTACTCTGTGCTATCTGTACTAGGTGTTTTTCATGTATATCCCAACCTTTGAGTCTCATCTTACTGATGAAATTCTGAGAGGGGTCCCCATATGTACTTGGGCTGCATAGCTCATAAGAGCTGTGGCTTTGGGCTGCACAACTCAGCCAAGTCTAAGTGACTTCTGGTAGGAGGAGCCATTGTTTTGACATATACTTCCCTTTGCACTAGGCCCCATCCCCCTAGTGGTTGTGTTACTTGTCATCAGTAGTCTTGGCCTTCTAGTGTTAAAGCTGTTCCATTTCCTGACCTAGGGAGTCTGTAGCTAAGGATGTTTTTGAGCCTAGTGAAATAATTTTGGGGGGATGATGACTGACAGGAAGGGATGAAGGCCTTTTGTCAGTAGTAGCTTTGAGTCAGTCCCTTCCTAGCATTAGAACTCAGTTTTCCCTGCTTTCCAGTGGAGACTTCAATACTTGGCTTTTTCCTAGGTTTCTTCTCAGAACCGTTGTGCTGGCTGAGCATCTCCCTTGGTCTCCCTCCTCTCCAGCAGGGGATACTCAGGCTGACTCTCCATTTCTTTTCCCTCCCTAGAATCATTGCCATGATGAGTCCAGAGGACAGCTGGGTTTCCAAGTGGCAGCGAGTCAGTAAGTGTCTCCCTTTCTCCTTATCTTTTCCTGGCTGCAGTGTTGTTATTGTCCCTCAGATCCAGTGGAGGATCCTTAAATCAGTAGGGTGAGTGGCCTTACTGTGGTAAAGATAGGGTTGTAGGAAAGACAAAGAAGCAGTGTCCTGTGCCTTGTCATTTAATACTTGTGGCCTAAAGAAGTGATGGCACTTCTCCTGGAGTTGCAGCACTTCTTCCATTTTTAGCTTAAGCCTCCATGTGGTTGTTAGTCTTAACTCACTCCCAGTGCCATCTCCGTTCTTCTCTCTCCAGGTAACTTTAAGCCAGGTGTGTATGCGGTGTCAGTCACTGGTCGCCTGCCCCAAGGTAATAAAAATCATCATAACAGCCAATGTTTATTTACTATACCAGTCTTTGTGGAAGTCCTTTATCTGAATTAACACCAGTCCTCACAATTCTGTGAGGTTCTGCGTTTTACAGATGAGGGAACTGAGGCACAGAGAGGTTAAAAAATTTGCCTGAGGACACCCAGCTAGTAAGTGAGGAGCCAGGATTAGAACCCAGGCATTCTGGCTCCAGAATCTTTGTTCTTTTTGTTTTTATTATTTATTATTTTAGAGACATGCTCTGCTACGTTACCCAAGCTAGACTTGAACTCTTGGGCTCAACTGATCCTCTTACCTCTTGAATAGCTGGGACTGTAGGCACACCATGGCACCTGGCCTGGAACCTTTGCTTTTGATGACTACATATGTCCCTCTTTTTCTTCTCATTCTTACCACATCATTGTTTGCTAAACACTTGCCTGGATCCTCAGTGGTAACAAGCCAACCAAGCAGGACTATTGATGAGCAGTCTAGGAACTTCAGTTTGCTTATAGCCCCCTTCGAGGTGGCACCTCAGGGACCTATCTTATCTTTCTGAATCTTCCTTCATGGAGCTATTTCTTTTTCTACACAGGAATCGTGCGGGAGCTGAAAAGTCGAGGAGTGGCCTACAAATCCAGAGACACAGCTATAAAGACCTAGCAAGATACAGGGCTGCCGTCATCTTTGCTGAACTAAATGGGCAGAACTTTAGATACTCCCCACCCTCCAATTCTGAAACTTAGCAGACTGTTAAGAGAGCAGCACATCATGTCCCTGAGCCATTTTTATCTTTGGACTACTGGTGGAGGTGGGAGGGATTTGGGTTGGTGGATTAACAGAGACTGAATTGAGGGAAGAGGAGGATGCTTGTTTTCGTATCCACAGCCCAGGGCTACACCCTTGCCCATGGGTAGGACTCTGGGTCAAATGCCAATAAATATGAACCTCTAGAAAATTCTTAAGGCCATGACATATGTCTTGCCTCCTTCCCTTTCTCTTAGCTGGGTACAAGAAGAGCTTACTTGCCCTACAGGCACCTTCTCAGAGTGGTGGAGACCCTTCTGCTCCCTGCTGCCTGTCTCTGAGCCTGCAGGGTTACAGCCTTTTGAGTGTGCTTTCTTGGTTCATTGGAAGGTTTGCTGTCCTCAGGCTAGGTAACCACATCAGCCTGGAAATCCCAGTGTCTAGTGGTTGTATCCTTCTGCCCTCTAGACTTGGCACAGCTGTGTCTCTTGAGGAAATCCTGAGGCTTCTTATTGCCCTATGCCTCTTAACCATGTTTACTATTTCTTTTTTTCTTTCTTTGTCTATTTTCTTTTTATTGTTCTTACTATATCTTGGGCTACCTACTCACATTTCACTTTCTTCTAACTGGAGACCCTCAGGGCTTAGGTGGCTGCCTGGCCTTGGTCTGTCTGCCTCTGTTTGGGCCTTCGTAGGAGGTGAGCCTTTCTTTTTCTGTTCTGGCCTAGTAAGGGGGCTTAGGTAATATCACAATATTGGCCAAGGTGAGTTATTTGTTTTAGAATAAAACAATTCACCATAAATTCTCATTTACTTAAATTTCTACAGAAATCCTGGTAGTGTGCCCATTTTGATTTCCCTAAATTTCTTGTTCACCTATAAAACGGAAATGATCACACCCTGCCTATTTACCTCAGGATTGTCGTGATTATAGAAATTAAGCAATATGAATATTTTATAACATAAATCTTGCAAAAAGTAAAATTCGTATGCTCTCATTTTATTAGTAACTTTTCAACATATATAATGATTTCACAATCAGCCAAAATAGTGGAGGGAAATGCCCAGAACCACAACTGCAGGGTGAGCTCTGACTCATTAGCAGAGGTGCCTGTACTAGGGCTTTGTGTCTCTTAGCCACCTGGTGTTGCTGTTGAGTCGATTTCTATTGTTACCTGTGCCCCGGAGTGTGGGAAGGAAGAGAGATGCCGACTTGACTCCAGTATCTGTCCCCTCTTGTCCTCTTGTGGGCCCATGGAAAGGAGCCTGGGACTGGCCATGCTGCTCATATCCACTCACAGAGGTCTGCAAACCAGAACCTTTTTCTCTGGTGCCTTCAAGCTCTGAGCGAATGGTCTGATAATCCCAATTCCAAACTTGAGTTGTACAAAAATTTCCCCATCCCTGCAAACTGAAAGAGCTCCCTGGGTGGTGATTTCTGTTCAATTTCAATCTGAAAGCACCGGTGCCAGGCTAGAGCTTGCATCCTGGGGGGAAGAAGTAGGTTTCAGCAAGAGTGCCCAGGCTGTGCAGCCAACACCCAACTTTCACTGGCTTTCTGAAAAAGTCCCTTGGAAAGCCCCAGCTGCTGTCCTGGGCGTCTGACCCGGACGTGGCTGCTTTGTGAGAATGGAAACATTTGTGGGGAGGGGAGGCAAGATGAGGTGTGCACAAATAACCACACTTAGTCTGCCTTAGCCCCACACTGAGCTGAGCTCTAACTGTCAGTCTTACAGGAAGCGAAAGATGATGGTTGTGGGGGTGGGGTGGCCTGTTGCTATGCCTGGATTCCACAGACTACCAAGTGGGTTCTGTCTGGGAGCTGCTTCTATATTAGCTCTTGCCTTCTCTGGCTTGGAACCTGCATGTGGTGCCACATAGCAGCCTAGACAGGCAGCAAGATGCCAGAGTTCCATCCTTCACTGGGAGCCCAAAGAAGCTAAAATGAGGACTTGGTTCAAGGCTCCCCCCAGGAGTGAGAAGTGCTGTGCAGAAGAAGGGTCCCAAGTGCTGGTACTGCTGCCCTGCTTTCCGTAGCCATGAGGGCTTTGTTCTGCTCATTATGTCTGGTCAAAGTTTCACCGCCATTCTGGCTGCTAAGGTTCTGGGTCTGCCCAGTGTCTTAAGATTTCTCCTTGCTTGGTCTCTTGCTCAGTAGTTCGGCTTTCTCCTTCAGAAGGGCAAGGCTACTCCCTTGTTCAACAAAGATGGACTCAAGTCAGACAGACTAGGAACAGTAGTAGCCAGGCTGTCCTCACCTTGCCTGTCTATTCCCCATTGTCCCACCACATGCTGTGGGGCTAGGGTTTCCCAAAAAGTGAAGGGCAAGTGGCAGTGCACTGATGAGTGCAGCCTCCAGCCCAAGAAGGGACTGGTAGCTGACAGCAAGGATCAGGATGTCTGGTCTTGAAGGGGAGCAGTTTCCCCAAGAATGATGGTGAGCTGGCGAGGGCCTAAATGCAGGCCTGGCTCACCAGGTTTGGGGACTGATGCTCTTGGTGTGGCCACTTACCCTGTTATTCTCAGCCCGGCTACAACCTGCTCCTCAATTCTTAGCCACCCCCTCCGTCTGATCTCTATATGTATAAAAGAGGCAGGTAGGTAATGTTTAACAACAGACTAATAATAACTGTCTCAAAATCTGGTTCATGTTTATTTAGTATCAGTAAAGCCTTTCATGGAAATATCATTTTACAGTTGATAAAGGGCTTTCCCCTGTCTCATTTGATCCTCACAAAACCCCTGGGACATGTTAACATCCTTATTTAGTGATGAGGAGACAGTCTCAGAGAGTTAGAGTGACTTGGCCATGACCAAGTAATGGAGCCTTAGCTCAAGAAATAAAATGCCCACACCAGTTAAGGGCTGCTGTCTCTGACATATCCCCAAACAGCAAGCTTTGCTCGACTGTTCCACAGAACCAGTGTAAGGCATTAGCTTTCTGTTGAGTGAAGTTACAACACATTTTCCCTACACTTTGAGCTCCACCAACCACCCTACTCCCCCTACTCAAGTCCTCAAGCCTAAAATTAGCCAAAGAGATGGAGGCAGTGGGGGCAATGGATTATGGGATTTACACAAGGATCCCTATGCAGAGCATTGGGAAACCAGTCAAGCCCTTCTCCAGTTCCCCTGGCTGCATCTTCTGTTCCACTCCAGCAGCTCTTAGGCTCCTGCTGATGTGTGCCGCACACCCGCCTCCATCTGCAGCTTGATGATGGCACTATTGCAGTCCACTGGAACACAGATTCATGTGTGCTAAAAACACATGTATCCAACTGAGAGCACAGTCGCCGCCTCCCCACCCCCTAGCCACTAGCTATGACTTTTATGTCACCTTATTTCTCTAAAAAGTTTCTTCTCTATGAAATACAACTGACAAAACTAGGTGTTTGGTTGGCAGGATAGTGGTTACCTGTGACAGGTGGGGGGTGAAAGAAGGCATGAGATCCACTTAAGATGGTGGTTATATTGTTTCTTGATCTTGATGCTGATTATGAGGGTCAGTTCACTTTCTGAAAATTGTTATATACTTGTGATTTTTTCACTTTGCTGTCATACTTCAAATAAATAATTTGCTTAAAGATGTAGTTGGTGGTCTTTGTCTTAGGGTAGTTGTGAGAATCAAATATATTAACTTAGGTAAAAGCAATTCGAGAGCTATAAACGATTAAGTGTATGTAAGGGACTATCATTATCCAAAGTTGTCTACCTCTAGGTAAGTTCTAGATAAGTGTGGCAAGAATTTCATCCCTCTAGCATTGTTGGGTAATAGGTATTCTAATACATCAATCATACACAAATCTATGGAAACTGAAGCATTTTCCTTGTTAGCACAAAAGCATAGGTGCTAAAACTTAAAAATTACCAAGTCTTTTTAATCTTTCTGTTCTTATTTTTTGTGAGACAAATTTGTTTGTTTTTAGATAGGGTCTCACTGTGTTGCAGGCTGGACTTTTTTAACTCCTGGGCTCAAGAGATCCTCCCACCTCAGCCTCCTGAGAAGCTAGGACTACAGGCATGTGCCACTACATACATATATATATTTTGTTTGTTTGTTTATTTGTTTTTGAGACAGAGTCTCACTTTGTTGCCCAGGCTAGAGTGAGTGCTGTGGCGTCAGCCTCGCTTACAGCAACCTCAAACTCCTGGGCTCAAGCGATCCTACTGCCTCAGCCTTCTGAGTAGCTGGGACTACAGGCATGTGCCACCATGCCCGGCTAATTTTCTATATATATATTAGTTGGCCAATAATTTCTTCCATTTATAGTAGAGACGGGTCTCGCTCTGCTCAGGCTGGTTTTGAACTCCTGACCTCGAGCAATCGCCCACCTCGGCCTCCCAAAGCTAGGATTAGGCCGTGAGCCACCGCACCTGGCCTTTTTTTTTTTTAAATGTATTATATACTTCCTTGTTGTTTGGATACAAGATTCTTTTTTTTTTTTTGAGACAGAGTCTCGCTTTGTTGCCCAGGCTAGAGTGAGTGCCGTGGCATCAGCCTAGCTCACAGTAACCCAAACTCCTGGCTCAGCAATCCTTCGCCTCAGCCCCGAGTAGCGGACTACAGACATCGCCCACCATGCCGCTAATTTTCCCTATATATTAGTTTGCCATTAATTTTTTCTATTTATATGAAGACGGGTCTCGCTCTTGTTCAGCTAGTTTGAACCACTGACCTGAGCACATCCACCCCTTTCGGCCTCCCAAGAGCTAGGATTACAGGCGTGAGCCACCTCGCCCAGCCTGGATACAGGATTCTGAATGTCATTTAACCTATACCTGGCTCAAAGTCATTGTTATAAACCTCCGTATTTTTTATCATTGGTGAAATCATTCAGGACTATTTTTCTACCTCTTGGATTCATATCAGTGTGTCAGCTGTCATTTCTGTTGCTTATGTGTGGCTGTCTTCTTTCCAGTCTTGTTTGAGTCTGAATAGATAGCCATGCTTGGTAAAAATTGCCATAGAGTGAGCCATCAGGGCTTAGATTAAGGAGGGCACATGGCTGCCTGCAGGTGCCTTGGTGGGTTAGAGGCCTTCACCAGTGGGTGTGTAAGGTCCACAGGGTTGAGGCCCTGGGCAAGGCAGATGATAGAACATCAGAACTGGGAACAGATGGCCCCTCACTTTATGGGTAAGAGGACTGAGCCTCAGAGACAGTGGTCAGCTTGACCTCAAAAGGGGGGTCACCACTACTTTATATGTCCTATACTGCCTGGCTCTGACTTTTGCCTAAAGATGTTTCTGTTTGACCTGAGATCCTAGGACGCAGGAACCGAGTACAGAGGGACCTGTCCTGGACTGCTGGCACCGAGATGCCAGATCCTCTGAGAAATATGGTGGAAAACATCTCCCCTCTAGGCCTTGGCACTCCCCCATTCTCAATACTCCCCTTCAGGGTAGAGGGCAGGCATTATGGTGGTGTTGACAGAGAACTTGAAGCCTAAGGAGCTTTCCTTGGGGATCCATCCATGGCAGATGGAGGCCTAGTCCTGTAAGAAGTCAGGGAGCTGGCAGGCCCATTTCAAGAGCTCCCATGTGCAGCTTCCTGCCTGTGTACACTCCTTCCTGCAAACCTAGCTCTTGTGCTAAAGAGAGAGCTTGAGGGAAGGTGGGGAGCAGCCTCAGACACCAGGATGAGGGGACGCTACCTTCTCTCCAAAATGGATTCCTCATCCTTTCTCCCCAAACCCAGCAACTGCCACCCTTTCAACTCCTTCCCCCCATCCCGGAAAATACCTGGAAGGAAGTGAGCGCTCTGGGGTCACTAGCCGGAAGTGGGGGTTTAACTGTCACCTCATCCCTGGGGGCTTGAGTAGCAGAAGGCCAAAGGGGAAATGCAAATCCACGCTTGGGAGGGAGAAGAACTCCTGAGAGGAAGGGGGTAGCAGCCAGTGCCCAGCCTTAGTCCCCTGGGCCTAGGCCGGGCTGGGGGGGCCCTGGGACAAGCCAGCAGCCACCCCACCCAGTGCTGGCAGCTGCAGCACTTTCTCTGGGCAGCTGAGTAGACTCACTTCCTCAGCCCTGCCTCAGAGAAGCAGGGAGTTGAGGGCGGGCTCTCAGGAGGAGGGGTGGGGCATGGTCTGGAGTCAGGAAGGTGAGGAGGTGGAGGAGAGGTGGAGAAGGACACATCCCTGGGGAATGAGCTTGAGGAGGTGGGTATCTCACACAGTGAGACCCTATCTAAAAACAAACAAATTTGTCTCACAAAAAATAAGAACAGAAAGATTAAAAGAACAGAAAGATCCCTCCCTGCCTTTGCAGCATGAGGGACCAAGCTTAGATTTGGAGGAGGCCTCTGGCCTCTGCACCTCCCCAATCCTGTTATAGATGCTGCGGACCAGAATTGAGAACCACATGGTGGCCTTACAAAGGGTTTTTCACAGCAAGTGGAGGCGAGAATTTGAGAAGCAGCTTTTGGGCTCGTACTTCTACAACAATAATCAATAGATAACTTCCAGGTTCATCTATTGGCAACTTCCAAGTTCAAAACTGGCCCCTCCATTATTGCATTTGATCCTCAGTGCCATCCTGGGAGGCATCATTATTCCCCTCCACAGATGGGAAAACTGAGTTCCCATTCCACCACTTGCCCAAGGGCAGTGGCCAGGTGAGGCTGCACTGGTGTTTCAGCCCAGGCCTTTTCCCCTGCACAACAATGTCCTGTGGACTCCCGTCAGCTCTGCCATGGCAGATGGGGATCAAGGGCCCATAACTGGGGCAGGGGGAGGGGCAGGGGTGGTCTTCCTTGTTTTCCTTTTGCCTACAGGTTGGGCCCACTAACCTTAGTACCAAGGTCACTTTGGGGGTGAGGGCCTCAATGCCTTTCGGGGCTCACCACCCTTGGAGCCCTCCAGAAGGGCCTGTGCCCCGTGTCCCCCACCCCGGTTTGCCCAGGCTTCTCACCCGCCACCCCAGCCACAGCCCCATGACACAGCCGCTGGCGTCCCATTGGTCCGCCCCAGAGCATTTGCCCTTATTTGGCCAGGCTGGCTCCAGGCTGGGTCTCCACCCCCAGCCCTGCCCCCGAAGGCCTGTCTTTCTCACTTCGTCTTTTTGAGGTTTGGCTCTGGGGCTCTGGGGCCCCAGCGGGCGTCGCTTCAAACGCACTTTCTGGTTGAGTCACTTTTTAACGGCTCCAGTGCTGTGAACTGCTGCTGCTGCTGACCGTCACCCCCACCCCCACCTTGGTGGCCAACCCTCCCCCCATCTGACTGCTTAATAGGCTCCCAAAGAAGGGGCTGGGGGCTGGGGTGGTCATTTGCTGCAGAAGAGACTCTACAGACTGCTTGGCTACCCTTTAGACCCCTCTGCTCCCCCACCCGCAAGCCTGGGGGCAGGGGGTCTGCCCCTCGTCCCTCCCACTGCTTTTTCCAGCTTCCTTCTCTGACTGGGTTGTGAGGAGAGACAGGTCCTCACAAAAAGACCTGGTCCTTTAGGGGGACTTCGAATTGAGCTCCCATGGGGGAAGAGAAATGAAATGCAGATTGTTGGCCGATTTTTCAGGAAGGTGAAACAACCTTGCTGAGTTTCCGGTTCCTCATCTCTGAGCTGGGGATCCCACCATTTACCCCACGGGGTCAGCATGATGATTAAATGAGATTCAGACTGAATGTGTCTTGTCAAGTCCTCTAGGTGCCCGGGCTGCCACTCTTTCCCCTAGCTCCATATGTAGAAGAAGGAGAATGGGATGAGCCCAGAGTGGTTCAGGGCAGTCCTCACCTGCTTTTCTGGCTGTGCCTGGGACGTGAGGAATCCTGAAGGGGCAGGAGGCTGGCAGGAGGGAATAGATGGCCCTTTGCCCTTGTTCCCAGCCAAGGTGGGGGAGAATTCTCTGTGCTCTGGGAGCTGTGGGAGGCACACCCTGGAGCCAGCTGGGAAGATCCCAGGGCTGCCCCGTGGCTGGGCAGTTTTGGGAACACAGGAAATTCTGCTTCCTCCTCCAAGGTCCCTGGGCCCCTTTGCTCTTGGGGACTTCCTAGAGCACAAACATGTCCTTTGGTCAATTCCCTCCACAATTTTACAGGTGAAGAAACAGGTTGGGGAAGGTAGGGGGAGAGTCAGAGATCCGCCCAAAGTTACACTGTAAATAGTTACAGGGTGGGGACTAGACCCCTAGTCTCTTGTCTCTGAGTAGGGAGTTGGGCTGATAAGGGAATATAGAGGGTTCCAGGCCAAGAACCAGCCTTCAGACACACACATACACACACACACACATACACACACACACACACACACACACACACACACACACACACAGTAGCAGTTAAAACTGGAGCAGGTGCAGCCATGCAAGGCCCCTGTGTGTGGAGGGAGCCAGGAGGGAGCTTTCTCCCATTTCCCTGCCTGTGTACTTAGCGGATCCCAGAGGAGAATGCTTCCGGTTTCACAACCACACCCACAGCAATGGTCAAGGTAGCCTTCTTTGTCACACTCACACAAGGTAGCCTTCTTTGTCACACTCGCACCCGCTTCCTACCCAGCCCATCTTGCCTCTTCCCAAATGGTGTGGAAAGAACCCTGAACTTGGCCCCAACTTGCTTTGTGACCTCAGGCTGCCTTCTGCCTCTTTCTGGGCTTGCA